ACAATTACCTGCAGAAACACAAACTCAATCACTGATAGAAGGGTCGTTTGTCATGCATATTAGAAAAGATAAATATCTGGGGGCATGCCATACTTCCTGAAGTGACAGAGACAGGTCTCGCGCAACATGTTGCTGTGTTTTCCCATTCACACAGCTCCACTATGTGGTTGAACAGTGACACAGCACCACCCACCATCATCATTCACCTGCTTATCCTGTTACAGGTAATGGGGAGATGAACCAGACCCAAATAATAATATTGGGTGAAAGATGAGAGACTATAAATAGGCCGTGGTGGGGCCACCACATGGTGACAAACAACGTGTCATAGTCACATGAACACCTGCAGAGGTTTTCTGAATATTCAAGAAGGAGCTCAATGACCACAGTTTCATGTAAATGCCACAAAATCAACTGATTTGTAAGGGAAATTAAAAAGCACTAGTCAACCAGTGTAGGCTTTTCAGATCTGTCAAAGTTAATTAGTAAAGACTAGTGTTAAATTAATCAGATTGAAAAATTTGAATGCATTTTAATGCATTTCCATCAAAGGAAAGAGTTTTCCTTTCACCAAAGCTTAAAATTCCATCTCAAAGTCCAGCAGTTTTTCTGGAGGCATCCACTGGAGGTCAGGTGGTTGGCCTGCGTTAGACCAGCCTCACAGATGTTGTAAAATAGTTCATGAGGGACTGATTTAATTAAGGAGGAGAATTTTCAAACAACTCTCAATGCAAACTAGAAGCCACTGTCAAGATGCAGAGCATTTACTAAAATTAAGACCAATTTTATTAAGCTAGATTTTGAGTCACATATCTTTTTTGCAATTTTATTAAGCTAGATTTTGAGTCACAAGTTTGCATATCTTTTTTGCATAATTACGATTAATCATGATTAATCGTGATTAATTAACAACTACCTGGTGAATAATCAGACTAAACATTTAAATTGTTTGACAGCCTTAATTATTTGGCTTTCATGAACACAGTAGAATAAGAGTAAAAACAATTATTACCGACATAAAGTACATATGTAACAGCAATATGTTAAAGATAAACCAGGATTTAACTTAGCCTGGATGCTAAATGTCTGAGACAAACGCTCTCCTACAAAACAGAGTGTTTGCTTGTGAGTCAGTGTGTGAATGTGTGTGTGTGTGTAGTGAGAGACTCCACAGAGATTACTCTTCTGCTAAATGGGATTTTCTGCTTCAGCTGAACTCAGACATGACATGGGCTGAACAATAAACAATTAGCCTATTAGCCTAAAGCTCACAACACATTTAGGGAAAACTTCTTGGCAAACACATTACTACTATCTACAGAAAATCAGTACTCAGTGCAGTACACAACTTTTTGCTGCTCTTCTGCAAAAAGACTTGTCTGGATTATCACACAACGTAGACAGTATTTTATAGTTTGATTTGTATAAAAAATAAGCCTGGGTCAGCCCATCTATTACTCCTCTTCTCTGTTATGGGTTTAGTATTTCAGTTAAAAGTTTTGTTCAAAAAAATTGAAAATGCTTTCTTATGCAGATGACACTGTTATTTATTGTATATACCATTCATTCACTGCCAACTATAGCTTTAGCTCCAATTGACTGTTTCATCTCTGAAATTCCAGACCAAAGGACATGATTCAGAACACAGTGTTGACATGAGGTGAAAACCGCAGGCTTACACTAAAGCTTAGGCTACAACTATTTGACACCTGACAGATTAATCTACATGATGGGAATAAATACAGATTGAGAAGATACATTACATTTCTTGAAGAGACACAGTTATGATGGTCCATTTCAGCTTGTAAACCAAAAACATGCAGGACTCTCCGTAAAACCCCAGACTGGGTCCAGATTTTCACAACGGTTGGTAAAACCAATTGAGCTGAAAAGATAGATTTTCACAACGGTTGGTAAAACCAACTGAGCTGAAAAGTTTAACTGTTCATTGAGAGACTCCCGTTACAGACGTTCAACATCTCTGACTTCCCATGAGCTCAAAAGTCCCGTGGATGTCAGAAAATGTCTCTCCTTTTTCCTCTCATGCCTTTGTCGTTAGCGCTGACCTCTAATCAGGGTTACAAAACGATGTCAGCCACAAGCTGGTGATGATGGTTGGCAGACTCTTGACAAAAGCATATCCATACCAAGCCAATGAGACAAGGAAGCTGCAGACTTAGTCTGCCTGTCTCTCTCATTAGTTTCCCTCTCCACTCTTCTTTGTCCAGACCAAAATAGCTCCACCTGTGTAAAGTCTATTAGCAGCCTAAGGTAAGCCTCTTAACGGGAGACTCCTGCTCTCTTAGAGCACGGGAAGTCAGTGACACTAAGTGAGACCAAACTGAGGTTGGATTAACTGTGCATAGATTGACTGAAAAAGCAGAATATTTGTTCCGTCATTCATTTATACCTTACCATTGAATCCTTTTCCTGGAGACAATCCCAGTCAATCACAGTCAACCAGTCCATCACAAGACCATGTATAGGAGAGAAAACCAACCATTCACACCTATGATCTGTTTAAAGTGAAAAACTATGTTTGAACTAGTGACCTTGTTGCTGTAAAGCAGCAGCACTAACCACCTCTTCCACTGTCACCAAATTTTTTTTACTGTAAAAAGATAACATTTTAAATATATATAAATTCAAATTACACCCATTGATAAAGCCATTCTGCTGACACCTGACTGACTGACTGACTGACTGACTGACTGGCTGACTGACTGACTGTTTAATCTCACAGACTGGATCAGCACCAGTCAGTTGTGAGTTGTGAGCTCCATCGACCCACTTGGTTTCATGTGTTGTCAGTCCAAAGGCTGAGCACCAGATTGACATTCCCATTAGAGAAGCTTCACTACAACACAGGCTGTTCCTCTGATATATTAACTTAGATCCCATCCAGCCTCACATTACAGCACGCCATCTGTAAAATATGAAGCCTGTTTTCAACACAGATAATAAACAGCAGGTGCACTGAGTTTGAAGCACTTTTTTAACAAGGTCATAACTGTTTTATTTTATATCTTTGCTACTGGCATTCTATTAAAAAAAAGTGATGACAAACAATGATTAAAAAGCTGCGAGCAGCTCATGACAACAATAATTTGAGCATTAACGCAGACTAATTTCTTTATTTGTAAATCTAACCTCGTCTTGTCTTTTCCATTTCCACGCTCCCCTACAACTAACCCATTCCGGTGTCTCACCTTGGCAGTGAGGATGCAAATGCAGTCCATACTCTCCGGTCTCTCTGGCAAAGTTTCCAGGAAACATCCTCACCCACCAACGGTCCCTCTCCCTCCGCTCAGCTGCTCGCTGCTGATAGGGACATGTTTCTGCTGTCGCTGTGTCTTTGACTCCTGCTTCTGCTCCTTATTCCTGCTCTCTCTGTATTGCTCTCCTCCCTTTTAAATGTCCCCTACACCTGGTCTGTCCTGTCCTGTCCTGTCACCGCAGCAGCTCCTGAGGACCTCTGCACCTGAACAGTGGCCAGCTCAGAACGCTGGCACCTGTCCAGGTGGACATCCACCCACCTGTCCACTCGTCTTCCAGCTGCTGTCTTTATCCTTGTGCACAGAGATATATATATATTTGTGCACTTGCAAAACAAAACAAAATAAAAGGACCAGCATGTTGGAGCATGAACACACTTGAATATATACTGAAATTCCCTGAGATCAGCATCACTGAAATTACTGATTAGTTTCACTGTAGCTAAGAATAGATGCATGTGAAACGTTTAAGTGAGAGGAATGAGGTGAGAACACACAGGCCAACACAGACCCCAGCCTCTCACACTAACCTCCACTAACACTACATATACCTTATATTAATCTTTACTCCAATCTAATCCAAATTCTAATCCAAACTTCAAACGAAATATTGAGCATCAAAACAGCCTCACTCAATGAGGGTCTGCAAAATGTCCCCGCCAGGACAGTGTCCCACAAATAAATAAAATTAAATAAAATTGATTGTTATTGATCCAATATTTGGGAAATCTTTATGTTAACAGCAGAAACGCTGTGAACAGGCTGCCCCCAGCAGGTGCCAAGCATGTGGTTCCTCTGGGAATCGAACTCTCTACTGTCTGCTTCCGAGGCAGGCATGCTAGGCGCTACACTATGGAACTGCCTAACTATGCACAACAGTATTACATTAACACTCCTTTTAGCAAAGCACTAGTTATTATCCTTAGTTCAGTGTTATGTAAGAGGAATACAATTAGAAAGATTCCCATCTTGGAGACTGTCATTGGAAAAGTTGTTGACATGTCTGCTGAATTCTCCTACATCTGTCGTATGCCTGTCTTCATTTGAGCCAATCAGCAGTAATACGATCCACGTTTAAAAGGTGATGGTCTTCAACAGTGTAACGCTGGATCATGAGTACCGCCGTGTTAAAAATTAGAGCAGAGAACCCACAAAACATACACAGAAGGCAGTGAGGGAAAATGCTGTGTGCGCTGATGCCTGGGTCTATAAATAACGTACAACTTCACTGTAAAGCCAAGGCTGTAACAGCAAATCTTGCTGGGACATGAACAACACGCAGGAGATCAAAACCCAGCACGAGTGAAGAGCAAATCTTTACACAATCCGCAACCAAACCACATGCATGATTCATGTCTTGGTGAAGAAAAGCCAAAGGACTTCAACCAGATGATGGTCTGCCTTTGGAGCAAAGAGCAACAAACTACTTCCTGCTCACAGCACAGCAACTTTTCCATGTGACATTTCTATCCATGGCCAAAATGGAAAACACAATCTACAAAACGTCCACAAAACATAACTATAGGACAACATGCATGAACAGCTCTTGTTGGCCCCATAAACTGATGTGGCGGGCCACATTCTGCTCAGGGGCCTTGAGTTTGACATACATGTGCTTTTAAGCTTCAACAAAATCTTTTTTATCCCAGGTCAGAATAATTAGCAAAAAAAAAAAAAACAATCTGCGGTCACGTCATCACAAACACTAAACATCTGATGGCCTACCTTGGTGGGGGTCCTCAGACTTGAGGCTGAGCAGGGACTGGCTGGACCATGACTGGGGCTCAGGGAGGGAGGTTTGATTGGTCCAGGGCTGGTGGGGCTGAAAAAAAAGGTACTGGAGGTGAACTCAGTAAACCTGATCTGAGTTATCCTGAATGATCTGCACCTCATTCATTCTTGTTTTAGTTTTAAAGAATTCAACACAAGACACACCTTAACCGAGACCCTCTAGTCGTAGACCCTGGAGGACTTGTGGGGCTGAGGTTGCTGAAGGTAAATTTCCCCTGGTTCAGGCTGGTGGGACTGGTGCTGGGAGTGACCTTCCCTGACCCCGAGTCTTTGCTGGTGACCAAGGACTTAGAGATGGGGGCAGTATCTGTGCCTCTGTGAGGACCTGGGCTGGTGCTCGGTGGTGAACATGTGGGGCTGAGTTTGCCAAGATTAGATGGAGACAAGAAGCTCTCGATGGTACTGGAGACCAGCGCTGAGACAGTCATCTGCTTGGGGTCTGGAGATGCAGGAAGGTTCTGTGGACCAGCTGAACCTTCAGCCGGAGATAGATGTTTCCTTGTTCCATTCACTGAAACCACAGGTGGTGATTTACTGGAACCAGCTGGACTTCCTTCACCTTTTGCCACAGACTCAGCTGCTCCTGGTTTAAAGTCTCCACATTGGGCAGGAGGAGGAGGAGCACAGTACTTGACTTTGGCCGCTTGGGACTGGTCCGGACTAGACTGGGTTTTTGATGAATGTGGGGGTATTTCAGATGGGATTGGAGGGGCAGGGGACTTGATGGACCTGGGTTTGGAAACTAAAGATGTCCCACTGGACGATGAAGCACTTGGAGGACTGGGAGGAGCATCTTCTTGTTGTGCAGGAAGGTAACAGGACTCTGACAGAGCCCCTGAACCATCAACCTGATCTGAGGAGAGTTTGCTGTCTGCATGGATGGTCAACTCATAATATTCCTGGATATCTGGAAGATCAGACAGGATCAAAAATCAGGCAGGAGGTACGAAAGGAAACATTTAGAAAAACAGAAAATAACTAAATAAGAGTGCAGATAAAACAGGATGGACATAAAACATGTAAAGAGGAAGAAACGCAATTCCCCTCTTCTGAGAGCGCTGGTAAACTAAGGGGAAATTAAGCTTATCCATCAGTGACCTCTAGCGGTAGCATGAAGGAACTTCCTCCATAATAATAAATTAACACGTCATGTTTGAATGGGTAAAACATGACTTTTCTTTAAAGAACAAATGAATAATTGAGTAAAAAGATGGATCTCAAACGGAGTGAAGATAACTGTATTTGTTTTATATAAGATGGTGAGACTGAAGGACATTAAAACAAAAATGTTTTATTTGAGTTTAGTGCAAAACAAATAGCCTCCTTTTCTTTCTTTTTTTTTACACTTATTAGATTATGATGCATCAAACGTTATTTATTTGAGAAAATTCCAAAACAGCAATTCAATAAAAAAAATCTAAAAAAAAATGGCTGCTGTTAGGAAGAGGCTGAACCATGTGACCGAGGCAAATGAATTAATTAACACTGAGAGTGTGGTTTTACGCCAATGTATACCAGGTATTAAATACTAACAGTATGACTCAGAGTAATTCCCCTAACATCCCCTCAACATTACATTGTAAAATGCTGAGTTCTAATCAGTGTGTTGGTCATAAAGATAGTAAAGAGGAAGTGGTAGTTCAACGTGTGTGAGTAAAGAAGGGTTCAGGTGCATGTGTGAAAAAGAACTTCAACATCACAACTCCACTTTGATCCAAAAAACTTGGATATGAACAGGAAGTAAATGACAAGGGCGTGGCACAAAAGCAGGTGGGACCAGAGACTGAGAACCAGTTTGTTGTTGTTCACATACCTCACAAACACACACACACACACACAAGATTTAAACACACATACCAGTTTAAATAGGAGCTGTAAACTGTGGAGGTCTGAATCACGGAGTGAATGCCTACAGTCCACAAACGTCCCTGTGTGAAAGCCAGTGTCACACTTACATCTGTGTCCAACCTACTCAAACAGCGGCCTGTGGGCCACATGTGTCACATGTGGCCCAGTCACAACCTCAGAGTCCAGTGCACGGTCTTTTGAGAAACTGAGAGATTCAGAATTGGCGTGTAATTTCGGCACCAGATCAGACCATGAATGCAACACTCGCCTGAGGTCTAGCAACATGAAAACCACAGTGCATCACTGTGGTGTCTGAATGTGTTCCAAGGAAGGTAGAATTATGAATGGACTGTATGGACTGACAAATACTTGTTTATTTCAGTACTTTTCTCTCCAGCTTTTCACTGTTTCATGTTCTTTTATACATTCATATGGTTCGGTCCAAATTTTGTAGTAACCTGTCAATCAGCTGCCACCAATGTCTGACCCGACTCACTTTTGTGGTTGAAAAATCTGCTTAGACTAAATTCCAAATGAATTAGTCCTAGTTTGTGTCATTTGATGAACACGTACTGGTGTTGGTTCTTACCGAGCAGGGCATTAAAGAGCTGACTCTGGAAGACGTCGATGACTCTGTCCAGAGACTGCTGGAGCTGGTGGTCTTCCTCCACCTCACCCTGTTTGGTCTGGTGCTGGCCGTGACGCCTCTGTTCTAATCTGGTGCGGTACTGCTGAAGAAGTTCCAGGGCTCTCTGGGCGTCTGGATACAGAACAAAACGTTAAATTAGAAAAACAAATCAGCAATTATGGCCTGGTACTGTGAGTGCACGTAGTAGTGCAATGGTACTGTTAAGGAATAACACGGTGGAACTTGAAGATGGGTTAGAGCTCCTGAGTCAACAAAGCTCCTGACCATAAGTCAACGTTGACACAGTTGTCAGTCATCATTCTTCTTTACCACAATAATTTCTGCCATCATCACCATGATCATCATCATCATCATCATCATTACCATCATCTTTTACTCATCCCCTGCTGTAAAATCCTGTTCACAGGAAACTGGAGCCACTCCCTGCTTGATACTGCCTGTCCACAATAATATGGATTAATTTAAATTCATTTCCTGTGAAACAAATATTATTTTCTTAGATTTCAGCTTTTGAAATTAACTGCTGTTTTACCCAATACCTTTGCTTTGTTGACAAAATAGAACTTCTGAAGAAATCATCAATTTGAGTTTGGGATAAACAAAGTTGACCTTCTTTTTAACTGGCCATGATGGAAATAAATGACTGCAAGAATCGTGTATTCTTAACTGTGTTTATGGTTCTCCACTGTATTTATCTGCACAGAATAGCCCTTTAGGTTTATTACCATTGCCGTGTATATACCGTGAACTGTATACTAGTCTTGCAGCTCCATGAACAGCTTTTTTTTAATGAGCAGAAAGTGACAGTCCTATTTGTTGTATTTTAATTGCCATACAACCCATAACAAACCTCACTACAATGTCTTGCGCTTGTTTTTGTTGTTCAGTTCACGTTTTGGAGACATCGAGATTTCACGGCATGAATCACGTGCACCAGAGTTTTGATGCAACACATAATACTTAGGTTGATGTTTAAAGTTCAGTGCAAATCGTCATCACGTAAACAAGTATCCACAAATAATGTCTGCCGAATTTTCCTACACGTCCTGAAGATCCTGAAAATATTATTCAATGATGGTGTGATTGTTTTGCAAGCTACAAAACCTGCAGACAAAGTTAAAATGGATATTTCTGTTAGGAAGTTTTGTGCATTGAGGCGCAACTCGAGCTCTGAGAGTAGTTCACACGAATACCGCAACGTGTAAACGATCTTCGAGTGAAGTTCAAGCTCAAGTGTTGGGGTGTAGTTCTGACACAGCACAAAACAAAAAAATCACTAAAGTGATGAGAAAAACGCGACGAATGTGCAGAAAAGTCGGTTCGTTTTACCTTTCTGTCGCACAGGCATGGTGTCACACACACAGTCGTCCTCCTCCGGGAGCCTTTCAGCGTCAGTGTCGCACCGACACTCGGTCTGTTTTCACAGATGTCAGCGTCAGTCCCGGGACAGTGATCGAACTCCAGGGCAGATCCTTTTCACTCTGACATTTTTTTTATCGGCAGAGTTAAAAAAACAACAACAAAAAAAACAACAAAACAAAACAAAAAAAAAACAGAAGTTGACACAGTCCGCCTGGACTTAGTACCCGGAGCTGGGGTGTGTTGTTGCCTCTGGGAGTGTGTGTGAAAACACTCACTCTCAATTCCTTCACTCGGTCAGACCGGTTCTTAGGCGGTCCCGTGGGATGATTACACACACGCGCACGCACGCACGCACCCGCGCGCTGCTATTCTTCCAGCTCTTCTTGCTCCGGCAGTTCAAAGACTACTATGTACTATTCAGAGAATTCCTTAAAGAAAATGTGGGATGAAAATTAAATTGTGAGATTTTTTTTTACAGTGTAAATGTAGGTGTAAAGTTTATAAAGGCGAGGGTTTGTTTTAAAAGCTGTGTACAGCACCAGAAATGTAGGTGTAAAGTTTATAAAGGCGGGGGTTTGTAAAAGCTGTGTACAGCACCACAGAACACCAGGAGCTCTGCGCCATGGCCAAAAAGTCATTACTTCAGAGATGTTAATCAAGACCTGGCGTGGGCAAACTTTTTGACTCGTGGGCCACAACTGTCCTAAAATTGAACAGGGGGTCCAGGTCAGGGGCAGATAGATGGATAAATTATGTTGTTACGTAAATGTTAGAAAGTCATGCAGAAAGGCCAAAATGCTCGTCATCTTTTTCCAGCCATCTATTGGGAAAAAGTGGGTGTTGCAGGGAAAAGGCAGAAGTATAATGATAATATAAGTAAGTTATATAATTTGGAAAAATTTGGCGGCCTGGATTGAAAAGCTGAATGGGCCGTATCCGGCCCCCGGGCCTTAGTTTGCCCGTGCCTGATCTAGTGTATAAACGCATTTGTCCAAACCTGGATGTTAATTGTTTTATTAAAAATAGTCAGGGATTTTATTATATTTTAAGACACTGTCTGTTGGACACATTCTGTGACATGGTTTCCCAGTGATTGCAGTTGCTGCAGTCAGTGTGGTCAGTGCTGTGGCTCCACTGTAGGTGTTGTCACGTGCCGTGCTGCTGCAGGGACAAAAAAAAAAAAAATGCATTCATTTCTGGATATGGTGGTTCGATTAAAATGGAAAGTATATTGTCACTGCACTCTCTCTCTCTCTCTCTCTCTCTCTCAGGGCTTGTACCTACACTCAGCCTGGATCAGGACCTTGTTTACTCTCAACAAACTCTCATCAGAGGACGCCTACACTCACTTTATCCATGAAAATGAAAATCTCAGACCTTACAGCAGGGATGTTCAGTTTGGCCCAAAGTCTGTTGACACTGATGTTATTGACTATTATTATTATTATTATTATTATTTTCCTGCTGCTCTTCTTTTCTGACTGTTTCAAATATATTTCGTGTATATTTTGCAGAATTTTCATAATAATTAGTAAGTAATTTTAATGGATGATTTAAACTATTTTGGGTACGTATATTTTTGCCAAATTTATTTATTTATTTATTTTTTACTCCTTACTCCGATTTTTTTTTTTTTTAATTCCTTTCAGCCATATTGTACTGTTCACATTTAGCTGGTTTTGCTAACCTGAACAGTGGGCTATTGTTTGTAGCCATAATGTCGTTAACTCAAACACATTTCAGAGAGTCTGTATTTGTATTTTTAAACTTCCTAATTTTTTCCCTTGCTTTTTTCTCTCCTGGTATAAAGTACTTACAGAACCGGTGTGGTCTCTCCACATTTGTTTGAAACCATAGAAACAGGATGCTGTTCATTACATAGAACGCAGAAGTGATTTGGATTCAAAGTGAGAATATGCAGAAGAAGAAGAAAAAAAATCATGAAAACAGAAGTCAGTCTTACATATTGAACACAAGTCGGTCTGTCTGTGGACAGTGAATCAATCGTGGGCGGGGGCTTCATCTGCATTTACAGATACACACTCACCACATACGTTCCCAGAGAGCAGATGAATGAATGGAGGTCACGGACTCAGTCCCTGGTATTGTTATTGATCGGGTCAGAGTGTATTGACTGCTTTGGTGGCTGCATACACACACACACACACACACACACACACACACAGATGCCATGTGTGAGTCGGCGTGGGGGCGAATTTATGCATGACTGTGTAAGTGGGTTGGTTCTTCAGCCTGCAGAAATATTTGGTCCCAAACACTGAATCACAATTAAAAGTCGAAAAGGCGCAAAAAAGTCATAATTTTGCTTTTGTCAGTGTGTGTGTGTGTGCGTGTGCGAGCCTTTGCATGTATTACCCTCCATTGTTTATTGTTCGTCTGCACCACAGTAAGTGGATTTGTTCGGCAGCGGCCAGTGGAGCTGGGGCAGCATCGTGGATTGGTACAAGACAGGGACGACAGGACAGTATACTGCAGTAGTGATAATGATAATAATAATAATTATTATTATTGTTAATCAAGAAATAAATACTTTTTTACAACATATCAGATGTAAACGATGAGGATGAGGAAGGCAACAGTGAGTCAAACACAGTTGCCTCAGTGTTTGAAAGAACTTCCAAAAGTTTCTCTCAAAATTATTACAGTTGCCTCAGTGTTTGAAAGAACTTTCAAAAGTCTCTCTCAAGTTTCTTTTTACCATTATTCTTAGTGCCCAAAATATCATTACAGGTTTCATGCAACATGAACCAGTCCCCTGTGCTGTACAGACAGTCATGAATCTCATGATCTTCAGAATGAAAGAGTTCAGTGAAGAACAACACGCATTCATTCACTTTCACCACTAGTACTTGTTATTGCGTTGTTCTGATCAAATTTAATCTGTCCACTTTATTTGGTCACTTTAATTCCTCCTTCCTTTCCTTTATCCCTTACCTGCACTTTTGACCTTTTTTTTTTTTTGCTTCCTATTGGTCGCCTTCTGTTTCGAGTAAAGCAAACAGATTACCAATAGTGACATTTTTTTTATTATTTGTACAATAGAGACTTTAGTACATTATTCAAAACACCTCTTATATACTGAAAAATGGTACGTCCCAAAGCCCAAAATGGCTCCAGTATAATCATTGCACAGCATTTTTTCAATTTTATACATATAATATTTTTTTTGTAAAAAGTGTATCTTAAATATGTACAGATAGCGTCTGCAAAATGCATTCTAAACACATGATATATATCATATATATATGTATATATATATGTGTGTGTATATATATATATAACTCAACAATTACATTTCTTCGCATTAATACTCAAAACTTAAACGTGGAAGGATTTCAACTCGCATGTGCAAATGAAGACAGAAATAAATAGTTCAGGTTGGACTCGTCACTTAAAAACTCGTCAGCATTTTCTCTCTCTCGGAGGTCAATGTACTTTTTGTTTTCGTCACACAACATAAGAAGCAGCATTCAAGTGGAGTGGGGGGGTGGGGGCGGGTACTGCAGAAAGCATGAGTACATTCACAATCAATAGGAATTGTCTTTTAAATCTGATTTCATTCACAGCTATGTACAGAGACACCGTTCCTCACCGTTGGTCATATGTAGATTAAACATATAGAAAAATGACTTGGGTTTTTTTATAGTCATATACATATATATATAATATATATTTGTATAACACAAATTCACAATTACAGTAGAAATACATTTTGTACAGCTGTGGACAGTACAGTTGTAGATCTGCGAGTCATACTGTGCGTACTTCCATCCGTAACTTTGTTATAAGTGTGTCGTTAGAAAATATCAACATTTTTGAGCAAAGCTAAGGTATATCAATATATTTAGAAAGAATTACCTGAAACACGTAGTAAAAATAATTATATTATCAAACCTTTTTTTTTTTTTTCTCTGTTCACGTCACAATATCTTTGATATTTCAAACTCCAAACGGGGCTGGGTGGGTTTCTGTGGTTAAACATCTGGACCACACGTCTCACCTGTGCCATTTTCAGTCCATTTTGGCAAAAGGAAGTAAACTCTAGTGCTTGTTACGAGCGTTGGCATCATTTTCATGTCTGGCAAAAGCAAAGATCAATAAAGATGTGTGTTTTTTTAAAACATCTTTAGGAAAGGTTGCCTTAACGTGGAGATTAAAATAAAATAAAAAATACAGATTTTTTTTATGGTTCCTTCTGTCACCATGGAAACGATAACTTTACTGTGGCTCACACTTTTTTTATGGCACCGTTTTAAGTCCTGTACATCTAATAAATAAGTTTTTTTTTTCAAGTTACAAAAGTTCCACAGACAGTTCAGGTGTAGTCAACTCCTCTGTGACACAGATTGTCTAAAAAGGGTGAATCTGATTCAGGATCAGATTCACCCGTTAAGACGCCACTCATGTCCGACACCCTCGTGATTCCTGTAGTTAAGGGAAATTATTCGGGTCCTGCTGTCAGTGTTGGGATCAGAGCTGGGCCACACAGAGGTACGGTAAAGCTCTAATGAAATGGTCCTCTGTAAACGCAACAAGAGGGTGGGGTCAGGGGCGTGGGGGTCAGAGGGTCATCATGGCACCGATGTTATAATGTGAGTGGCTTTAAGAAAACTCAGTGATATTATACATTTGGTGATTAGTGATATTTAAGCATGCTGTGAATGCTGATAAGATAAGGTAATAAGATAAAAACTTTTTTTTTTTTTTAAGATTTCAAACGATGCCACAGGAGTTGAGAAAGTATTCCATCGTTGATGTCGCCCATCCAGCTTTTCCATCGTGGCCTCACATTTTTTAAGTAGGCTGCAATGTTGGCCAGGATGTTTTTTAATAGGTGATAAAATTAGAATTTTAAAGCTGTAAGAAAATTCTACTTTGTATCATTTTAATAATAAATAAATAGGACAGGGCACTGACCCACTGGGGCTCAGTATGTGTGTGTGTGTGTGTGTGTGACATTAGTGGATAGATGTCATATTCGTTGGCACACCTGTGTGTTTGCTCGTCTATTATGTGCACGGCAGTGTGTGTGTAAACATTGGTATGGAGTCACGCGATAGATGGCGCTGCAGAACAGGCTCGTCTCTGGCCGAGAGCTTCACGTTCCGAGTTGTAGGAATATTGCTTTAGCTCTTCTCAGCACAAAGACGGAGAAAAAAAAACAAAAACAAAACAAAAACAGTAGCAGAAATGGACAAGGGCAAAATGTTTTTTTTTTGTTCTATACAGAAATAAATAGCTTCGTCCACGTGGAGAAAGGTTCCCTGTACGTTCGTAGGAGATAGAATTCAGACTGTGGTTTATTAACAATAGGTGTATTTATCATAAACTCTGACTTTGAGTCTGTTCAGGCCCCAAAGAGAGTGCAGCTCCAAAAGGCCACAGCTCTACGTATGTACACAAGGCAAAAAGTCTTAACTTGTCGGATTTATGCACATATGGGGGGGAGGGGGGGG